GGCGAATAGGACTCTTCGAGCCGAGCGGGAAAATGATCAATCGACAGCAAGAGCTAAGGAAAATTGGCTCGAGGAGAGCATCGGAGACATGGAGAGAGACAAATTCATCCTTCATGATTGAGCGACCGCTTTATAGGCCGAGAAGGCTTAACTTCTTGTATGGCTGTCCTCATCCAACACTTCTGATTTTCCCAATATACCTCGGGAGTTATACGAAGAATGGATCTATGCTGAGGCCCGGTTAGATGTGTTTCGGGACTTGTATGCAGTGAGCTCCATTCCCGAGGTTGCTCTTGAGGATGCCCAGGTTAAGGCTCGAGTCGCTTGTGGATATGATATCACTATGCCTCAACCTGAAGAGGATGATGGGGAATAGGGTGTAGACCGGCTAGAGGAGGATGCTTGGTATGATACTGCTTATCCTCAGGGCGAAGGTGGCGAGGGTGTCAGTGGATGAGGTAGTGAGGTTGTAGAGGACTGCGATGGCGAGCGCCACTAGTCTTTCTCTTAGACCTTTTTTGTGTATTTTTGTTGGCGTCTCTAAGAGCCCCGGTAATGAACTTTTTTTTGTATATGGATGTTTAAGTTGTTTTTCGCGCCTTCTTCCATATCTGTTACTTGTTTCTGCACTCGTGTACTTTGATTTTGTTGTTTGCTTGTTGTTATTTTTGCTCTTTTTATCGTCGTTGTCTTCTAGTTAGTCATAGTCTTGTTGACGAATATTTATGGGCCATATCTGCCCTTTGTTTATATAGGTCGGGTGCACCTCTTTATTTTGATTAGGCTGATAGGTGTTGTTTGAACTTGGTTAATTTTGGTCTTTTTCCAAGTCGTGGCCGAAAGGTGTTGTTCGGGTTGGGTCGAACTTTACCCTTTATTAAAACGCGGCCGAGGGCCGATAGGTGTTGTTCGCACTTGGTCGAACTTAACATTTTATTAAAACGTGACCGAGGGACGATAGGTGTTGTTCGTGCTAGGTTAAACTTAGCCTTTTGTTGAATTGCAATCGAGGGCCGATAGGTATCGTTTGAGCTGGGTCGAACTTAACCTTTTATTAAATCGCGACCGAGGGCCGGTAGGTGTCATTCGAACTTTGGTCGAATTATAACCTTTTTAAATTGCGGTCGGGGATCGGTAGGTGTTATTACCTCTTTAAATTGCGGCCAAGGGCCGATAGGTGTTATTTGAACTTTGGTCGAATTATAATCTTTTTAAATTGCGATCGAGGACCGGTAGGTGTTATTACCAATTTAAACCGCGGTCGAGGGCCAATATGTGTTATTCGAACTTTGGTCAAATTATAACCTTTTTAAATTGCTGTCGAGGACCGGTGGGTGTTATTCTAACTTGGTCAAATTTTAACCTTTTTAAATTTTGGCCAGGGGCCGATAGGTGTTTTTCGAGCTTGTCGAATTTTGACCTCTTGAAATCGCGGTCGAGGGATGATAAATGTTTCTGATAATTATTAGTCTCTTATTACTTTAATGTTGTTGTTCTGATTACATGATTGGAGAAAGTTACAACTTTTGGGTACTGGTTGACATTACAGTCATAGTCTATCTAGTCTCTTTATTGCTTATATTGGAGAGAATTGAGGAGTCAAGCAATGAAGTAGAAAAAATAGTCCCTCCCTCGCATACTTTGACTCGAAGTGTCCCCTTTGTTTCCTCGTTAAAAACTTCTTTGAGAAAACCCTAATGGGATTAAACTCAAGTGAGAGAAAAAAAGTACGACTTGGGGATACTTCTTCCCTTAAAAGTTGAAGTATTTGAGGTGGCTGACATTCCAATTATTCGGTAATTGCTTTCCTTCCATCGTCTCTAATTGGAAAGAACCCATGTTTGCCTTGGGTATTGATAGTAGGCTAGAAACCCGTGTTTTAGTTGTTATATTGCACTCTAGTTACTGCATTTTACGTGTGTTTCAGGTAAAATGATAGTGAATTATACTTATTACGTGTTTTATGCCTTGTAGGAAATGATTCTGAGTTATTTAGGTAATTTGGAGCGAAATTGAACAAGTTGGAGCTTTGAAATCTGAGTAGAAGCCCTAGGAAATTAAGTCGGGATCACTTTCGAGGGTCGAGGACCAAGTCCGGATGTCAAAAAGGGAACAAACAAATTTACTCAGAGAAAAAGCCAATACCGTGCCGCATGGGGTGGCCTAAGGCGCGGCGCGGCAGTGCAAAAGTGGTTTGAGAAGCATAGTGCAAGCTTTCTGGATTTCCTCACTAGCGTGCCGCATGGGGCGGCACAACTATGCAAAATCGTCAGAGTGATTTCCAAGTTCGGCTAAGAAAGGGTAGTTTCGTCCGAGCTTGTTTATACACGGTATAAATACACCAAAAACACAATTTATAAGAGACTTTTGACCTACGAAAGATTGGAGAACCAACCAAGGAAAGAAGACTCAAGAACTTATCAATATTTCAACCTGCAATCGGTGCAATACGGGAGTTTGTATTGAATAATTAGAATTGATGTTTTCTTTGTTTTTGAACCTTATTGAGATGTCATACTCCATTTTTATGGAGTAATTTCATTTAGGATGTTGATAGATACAATGTTTTGATAACTTGATTAGGAATTCAATTATTGATAATTGTTAGAATTAATTGATGGAGTTTTAATTCATATGTGGAGATATTTCTTATTTTGCTTAATCGATAAAGGAGCTTTATATTGAATTGCTTTACATCTTATGATCTAGTTTAAATTTATGATTCAATTAGGTAATAGAAAGAGCCTCATGAATTGTTAATCGGACAAGAAAATAGGAAATATTAGTGAGAAGTTTCCATTTAGATCATAACCATCATTTTATTGTTGCAATTGTTTATTGTGCTTCAATTGCTTTAATTACTGAAATTAACATTTAATCAAAAGAGGAACATTAACTTCAAGTGTAATCTGATTATCGGTTGAATTCGTGAGAATTAACCGTATTATAGAGTGAATTAACTCAAGAATTGGATCCCGAGTCAGTTATCTTGCATCTATCTGGTCAAATACCCTTATTTCTCTCATTGATATTTCTTTGTTGCTCATCTGTTGTCTTTTGTGATTAACTGTTAAGTGCTTAATTTTTAGTAATTAATCGTAGTAATAGCCATTTCATCAAGTGTTAATTTTCCTGGATAGTAATCAACTGAAGATTATTCAAATACTGTTTAAATCCAATTCCTGCAGAGACGATAATTAAACTATACTATCTTTGACTAGCGTGCAATAATTTTATGTTGTATTTTGTGTTCGTCAAATTTTGGCACCGTTGAAGTGAGCCTTGCCATAACTGGAAAAGTTGCTACCATGTGACCAAAAGGTCACGGGTTCGAGCCGTGAAAACAACCTCTTGCAGAAATGTAGGGTAAGGCTGCGTACAATAGACCCTTGCGGTCCGACCCTTCCCCGGACCCTGCGCATAGCGGGAGCTTAGTGCACGGGGCAGCCCTTTTTTTTGCCAGGGATGAGTAATTAATAGTGTTAAAAATAGTTTTTAGTACTAATTCAAGAACCAATTTTTACTTTAGTTATTCATGTTTTCTTACTTGTGTGCAGGATATAGCTTTTTATTTGTCTGGTGCATGACTCAATCTTCTTCAAAGTAAGTGATACTTTACGAACCAGAGTAGAAGAAACACCTGCGAATCTGAGAAAAGAAAGAGAATTAAAAAAAAAATCTTGGGGCAAACTTCGACTCAAGATTTCATGGAAAACGAAGAGAGAGACGGAGTAGACTTAACTACAAGAGAGCTAGCACAACAAGAAGCTGCATGGAGAATTGCTGAAGAGACCATCAAAGATAATGGGGGTCAAAGATTCAATCTAAACTGACCCTTGGTTGAAGACCAGTTCGAGAATGCAGCACCCAGGCTGGTAGATCATTGGGTGGTTATGCTAGGCCAGTCTACAATCAAGGAATGTCAAGTGTAAGACCTCCACCCATAGCCGCAAACAACTTCGAATTGAAGCAAGGCTTGCTTCAAACTATCCAAAACAACTGCACTTTTTGAGGAAAGGTGAACGAAGATCCCAACAGTCACTGGATGGAATTTAAAGAAATCATTAACACCTTCCACTACAATGGAGTATCAAAGCATGCCGTCTACTTAAGGGCATTCCCCTTTTTATTGAAAGATGATGCGAAGCAATGGCTTCGTATCTTACCCACAGGTTCGATTAGGACATGGGACAATATGACTAGGAAGTTTCTCGACAAGTGCTTTTCAATTGCAAAAATAGGGAGGTTTAGAAGGGAAATCCACAATTTCTGCCTGAAGGAGATAGAACGTTTTTGAAGCTTGGGAAAGATTCAAGGAGGTAGTCAGAAAGTGTCAGCACAATGGAATTGAATTGTGGATGCAACTCAGGATTTTTGGGATGGGCTGGCACCGTTATGACAAACTCTGAATACTACATGTGGAGGTCCATTAATGAAGAAAACTCCATAGGAGGTTGTCTTAATCCTTGATAAATTATCTGAGTATGCTAATCAGTGGTCGACTGAGAGTAATGATAGAAGAAAATCCGTGGGGGTTCACTAGATGAACTCTAACACATCCACGCAAATCCAACTAGACACCATGTCTAAGGAGGTAAGAATGCCGACGTTGGCCAAGATACAGAGTGAGCCATAAGTAACATGTGATTTTTGTGGATTGGGACACCCTACATATGAGTATCAAGCTACAGCTGAGGAAGTCAACGCTGTGGGGAACTTTAATAGAGAAAATTACCAAGGTGGGAACAACTATAATGTGATGGGTCAAAGACATCCATGTTTTTCGTGGAGTTCACCTAATGGGAGCTTGAACTTATGGAAGAAAATAATCTTAGACCCTAGGGTCAAGGACCACCAGGTTTTAGAACCAGTAGAGGCAGCAATACCAGCCACCACAGCCAAATCAGTCAAGTGTGGAAGATCTCATGAAGGCATTCATCAATAAAATAGATGAAAAATTCGAGACTTAGGGCACGTCTATCCGAAATTTAAAAAGACAAATGGGACAGATTACAAATTTGTTATCTGAAAGGGCTCCTAGGACTTTTCCCTCTGACACTAAAAAGAACCCAAAGGAAACAATCAAAGTTGTATCTCTAAGAAGTGGCAAAGCATTGACTGACCCAGTGGTGAAGGTTAAACCTGAGGTGGTTAACAAGGAGACTGAGACACCAACAGAGAAAACGAGTGAAGAGCAAAATGGCCAGAGTAGTGGGGTACAAAAGGAGATTGAAGAAAGTAGACATATGCCAGCTCTACCATTGCCTCAAAAGATGAAGCGTGAGAAACTTGACAAATGTTTTGGGCGATTATTGGAGATGCTCAAACAACTTTATGTTAACATTCCCTTTACAGATTTACTTACTCAGATGCCTGCTTATGTAAAGCTCTTGAAGGAAATCCTGTCTAGCAAGAGAAATTTAGAGAAAACAACAGTGATCAAGCTGAATGCCCACTACAGTGCCATACTGCAAAACAAAATTCCCCAAAGTATGGGGACCCAGGAAGCTTCACCATACCATGCTCGTTGGGGAGTGAGAAATTTGACAAGGCCCTCTGCGAGTCTGGTGAGTCTATAAATCTAAGTTCTTTCTGTATTCAAGAAACTGGAAGGTGAGCTTGGAGTGATCAAATCAATACCAGTGTCCCTATAACTGGCTGATCAGACCAGCATTTTGCGTGAGGGAATCGTTGAGGATATTATAGTGCGGGTGGACAAATTTGTGTTCCCCGTAGACTTTATTGTGGTTGATATGGAAGTGAACAAGGAGGTGCCTCTATTTCTAAGGAGGCCATTTTTATGTACATGTAGATCTATCCTTGATATCTACGAAGGGAAGCTTATGCTCAGAGTGGGCAATGAAAAAGTGGTATTCCAGATGAAGAGGATGATGAAATACCCCAGTGGTGAGGCATCTGCCTACTCGTGTTTCAAGCTAGATGTTGTTGGGGAATTGGCTAAAAAATACAAGTTTGACAAGCTTGTGGGGGATACTCTAGAGAGATGTATTAGCCAGTCTAGCATAGTGGAGGATGAAGATCCTGAAATAAAGAAAGAGATTGAAGCTCTTGAAACTAAGGATCAAGTGGTTGATGAGGAGGATTTAAAAGAGGAGGCTTCTAAGTCTAATGTGGAATTGAAAGTCCTCCCCACTCACTTAAAATATGCTTTTCTTGAAACTAAAAATTTTTCCTGTGATTATTTTTGCTGACTTTACAGGTACACAGGAGCAAAAACTGGTGGAGCTGCTGAAAAAGCACAAAAAAGCCATTGGCTAGAGTATAGCTGATATTCAAGGAATCGGTCCAGCCATTTGTATGCACAAAATTCTATTGGAAGAAAATAGCAAGCCAGTGGTGCAGCCCAACGCAAGTTGAACAAAAATTTGGAGGAGGTAGTGCACAAGGAGATCATCAAATTGCTAGATGCGGGAGTGATTTTTCCAATCTCTGATAGCTAGTAGATTAGTCCAGTGCAAGTTGTACCTAAGAAGGGTGGCATGACAGTGGTAAAAAATGAAGACAATGAATTAATCCCCACAAGAACAGTCACTGGGTGGAGAATTTGCATTGATTATAGAAGGATAAATGATGCAACATGGAAGGATCACTTTCCACTCCCCTTTATTGATCAAATACTCGAGAAAGTGGATGGACATAGAGGCTACTACTTTTTGGATGGGTACTCAGGATACAGTCAGATACCCATTGCCCCAGAAGATGTTGAGAAGACCAACATTCACTTGCCCGTTAGGTATTTTTGCTTACAGGAGGATGTCGTTTGGGTTGTGTAATGCACCTACCACTTTTCAGAGGTGCATGATGTCTATATTCTCCGATTTGAAGGGAAAGTATCTAGAAGTATTCATGAATGGTTTCACCCTCTTTGGTGATGCCTTTGAGGATTGCTTAAAGAATTTGGAGCTCGTGCTTGGATGTTGTGAAGTCACTCAGTTGGTTCTTAACTGGGAGAAGTGTCACTTCATGGTGAAAGAGGGAATTGTCATGGGTCACAAAGTAACTGCACATGGAATTGAAGTTGATAGATCTAAGGTTGATGTAATTGCTAGTCTCCCTATACTGACTTCTGTGAAGAGCATACAGAGTTTCTTGAGACATGCTTGGTTTTATAGGAGGTTCATCACAAAAAAATCCAGCATTACTAAGTCATTAATTGCTTTGCTAGCGAAAGATGTCAAGTTTGTTTTCAATGTAGAGTGCCTAAGAGCATTCAAATTGATAAAAGAAAAGCTTGTGAGTGCTCATATTATGGTGACACCTGATTGGATCCAGCCATTTGAGATAATGTATGATGCTAGTGATGTAGTTGTAGGAGCAGTTCTGGGGAAAATAAACGATAAAATGGTTAGGCCCATCTACTATGCAAGTAGGACATTTAATGATGCTCAAGTTAACTATGCCACTACTGAAAAATAGTTCTTTGTTGTGGTCTTTGATTTTGACAAGTTTAGATCATACCTAGTGGGGAGTAAAGTGATTGTACACATTGATCACTCAGCCTTGAAATATCTGTTGAGTAAGAAGGAGTCCAAGCCGCATCTGATGTGGTGGGTGTTGTTGCTCCAAGAGTTTGACTTGGAGATCAAAGATAGGAAGCACACAGAAAATCAAGTCGCAGATCATCTATCTCGACTTGAGAAACCTCTGGTCAAAATAGTTGAAATAAGGGAAGAGTTCCCTGATGAGCAGATTTTCTCCATTGCTACGGTCTCCGAAAGGCCGCCTTGGTATGCTGATGTAGCCCACTTTTTGGCTAGTGGATGGTTACCTCGCAACCTCTCTCGTGATCAAAGAAAGAAGCTTCAATGTGAGGTAAAATGTTATTTTTGGAATAACCCCTTCTTCTTTAAACTATGTGCATATGGTGTGATTCAAAGATGTGTGCATGAAGGAGAGATGACAAGCATTCTTTCTCATTGCCATGACGGAGCAGCTAGAAATCGCATTGCAACAAAGGTCATAGAAGTTGGTTTCTATTGGCCTACTTTGTACAAAGACGCACGGGCGTATGTAGCTGCATGTGACAAGTGTCAAAGGGAAGGTAACATTAGCAAGAGGGATGAGATGCCACTCAACTCCATTCTGGTATGTGAAACTTTTGATATTTAAGGCATTAACTTCATTGGCCCATTCCCATCATCTTATTCATATGAGTATATCCTAGTAGCCATCTCTAAATGGGTCGAAGCAATCTCTACTAGGACCAATGATGCTCGGGTAGTGTGTGAGTTCTTACGAAAGAATATCTTTACCCGATATTGGACACCTCGAGTGATTATCAGTGATAATGGGTCACACTTTATGAACAAGTAGTTTGTTGCACTGTTGTCCAAGTATGGGGTCACACACAAAATAGAAACCTCGTACCATGCCCAAACTAGTGGGAAAGTTGAAGTGGCTAACCGGGAACTTAAACAAATCCTTGAAAAGATGGTTAGTACTTCTTGTAAGGATTGGTCTGTAAAGTTGGATGAAGCTCTATGGGTGTACAGAACTGCGTTCAAAACAACCATAAGGACTTCAGTATTCAAATTAGTGTATGGGAAATCGTGTATCTACCTGTTGTGATAGAATATAAAGTTTATTGGATAATTAAGATGCTTAATCTTGATCTTAGTCTTGCAGGTGAATACAAGTTGGCACAGATGAATGAATTGGAGGAGTTTAGACTGGACACGTATGAAAATGTGTGAATCTTTAAGGAAAAGACAAAGAGATGGCATGATCATCTGATTAAGCCAAAAGAGTTTTATGAAGCGAACAGAGTCTTACTATACAATGGTAGACTTAAGTTGTTCCCAAAAATATTCAAATCAAGATGGACAGGTCCGTATATGTGAAACACGTCTCACCGTATGACGCCATTGAAATACATAATGAAGGGAATGAAAGTTTTAAGGTGAATGGACACAGGTTGAAACAATACCATGTTGGAAGATTTTACAAGCAATCCTCTAGCATCATGATCAAATGAGCCTATGTGACGGAGTCAAGCTAACGACTATAACTCAAAACTACTTCTAACCCTTTTTATTGTTTTTGTAGACTAGTTAGTTAATAGTAGTATAGGATTATTAGAGTTTAGGAGTTTTGATAATTGTTTGAATAGGTATAAGTATGAATCGAATACAAAATAAGTACAAAATTGAGTCGGGGTGTGACCCATAGGCTAAAACGTGAAAAAAATTGGGACTCTAATAAAACTGGCCTACCGCGCTGTATGGGCGCCGCGCTAGGCCAAACGGGCAAAATCTGTCACGATCGACTCTCTAGAAAACCCCACAGTCGCATTGCTAGTGGCGCAACTGTCGCGCCCCCTTTCTTCCCTTTTTGCGGGGAGTTCTGGGTTTTGACATTCATCGGGGAACAACTCATCTCCTTTTGGGAATTGGGTATTTGAAAAGTCGCTATCTAACGGATTAAGGTGTGTTAGGTCACCTAGAGAAATTAACTCATGCAACTAGTTTGCATTACCAGAGATTAGGATAAGGGCTCGAAATAACCTTGGGGGGAAGGTATTAGGCACCCCTCGTTGTCCACAACGGTGGGTCTCGGCCAAACTTAAACTATGTGAATTAGTCAATTAACAAGTAAGCAGTCTTCGCAAATATTTGCAAATAAAGGTAGTTTTCACAGTCTAAATATATATATGATCAAAGAAGCTGAGATGGTCCAATGCACACTTATGAAAGAAGTTTAGATAATTTAAACACATATAGGAGTTAGGAAAGGGAAGTCCTAAGTTGATTATCCAACAGGATCAATCTGTGCAATGCCCAGTAATCGTCCTCAACTAGAGGGGCTACACGTGACATTAGCGCGCAGGTCATCATATCCTTTTACTACCCATTACCCCCCTTAATGGTTATATAAGCGAGTTTGATTAACGACCTCTAAACGTGCTGCTACCCGTCCCTTCCTTGTGGCCCCGTAGGAATTTAGGACCTCTAGACTTAAGCAGTTCTAGACAATCCTAAGGTGTTTAAAAGGGAAAAGTCTAGGCGACAACGAATAACATATAGGACTGTCAATTAAGGAAGAAAGTAAAAGGCTCATGTTTGCCTCCATATATACATATGCAAATAAACAGCATGTCTCAAACAACTGATTTTGAAGAAGTTCAGAAAGCCTAAGAACATAATATCTAGGTGAATGTTATAGATACAGGATATGCAGTATTTGTTTTAAGGGAAGTGGAAAAATCCTAACCAGTTTGCCTACTGGTTTTATAGCCTGTTAAGCCTGGATAATTTCTCACATAAACAGAACTGGTTTCACAATTATTTAACGGCCTAAGGCTTGACTAGGTATGTATATGTAGTCACAAATCTGGGAAATTCTTAAATAGTTTGAAGTTCTTTCATCCTATAGGCATGCTTATCTAAGTGATACAGATTATAACAGGCGATTTATCAATTTGTGTTTAGATACATGATACCTATGCGTGAGTCTGTTTTAAACTTTTTCATGGGAAGCTATTGATTTAATCGAAATAGACGTGGTTCAAACAGATGCAAATAGAGTTCCTAAGAATATGTTATCTAATGCATACAGGAATGACAGTTTTTTAAGATTATTTAATAGCAGGATGTCTATGTGACATTGCTTGCGAAGAACCAGAAATTGAGCATGCAATATGCTGAAGCAATAAATGTGAAGGCCCTAAAAGCAGGATATATAATGCACCGGTTTAACATGGTTTAAATGTAAATGAACACATCAATCCTAGAACATGGCTTCTAATGTAGATTTGCGGAATATAAAGCCTATAACATGTTTTTCTACCCAGTTTTACCTACAGTATCATACAACTCCCTCCCTTTTTATTAGTTACCCCAATATCTGTTTACAAATAATTAGTACAGACCAGAATTGTATAAATTACACAGATAAAATGTAAATCAATATTGTAGAGAGCCTGAAGCAGGCCCAAAATAAACCTAGGAGTACCAGGCCTTTAATGTAGTCTCAAATGCTCAGAAATCTCATAGCCAACAAATGTCTAGGTGTGTCAGAGTTCCCTAAGAACCTCACGGATCCCGGGCAGTGCTCATACCAAGATTTTTCTCAAGTAGGGACTGGTTATGTGCAGTGTGGAAGAGCCAGCCCTAATATGCCAGAGTTCAGAGAGATCTCAAGGATCCCTAAGCAGTACACATACTAAAGGGGCAGAACTAAATAACCTAAGAGTAAGTGAAATGTTTGATATAGTTTGAAAGGCTTAGTGAAAACAGTGTGGAGATAATTTCTTAGGAGTGAAAAAGGTTTT